TCTACAGGCTTAGAGGCGGCCATGACGAGTGTCCTCCGCCACCGCCTCGCTGCAGGTCGCAGGCGCCACAGTCACCAGTCAGCGTGCGGAGGAACACCGGAGGGAGGGAAGGGAAGGCTGGAGCGAGCGAGCACGCTGGGGAGCCCGAGCATACGACAGAAAAGGGCCAGAGGTCACCGGAAGCCCAGGGCATGCCGGGCCCGGCCTGGCCGCCCTTCTCCTCCCATTTTAACCAAGGGGTGCGGGGGTGGGAATCACTTCCGTGTCAAGGGAAACAGCGTGCGCTGGGCGTCGGGCGGGCGTCCCGGGCTGCCCTTTCTCTTTCACCCCGCTGCCGTTCCTGAGACTGTCTTCCGGGGTCCTGGGCCTCCGCTGGTAGCCGGTGTCTAGCGAAGCCGACGAGCGGCGCTTATACTGAGGGTTTTATGGGGCGCAGGCGATCGGAGCAGAGGAAGGCTCTGCAACGGCCCTGAGACTGGGCGAGTGTGGCAGAGGATTGGTGAAGGTTATTGGCTGGCAGGGGTGGTGGGCGGGGCGTAGGCCGAGTTGCCCAGTTTATTGGTGGAATTTGGACCCGTCGTTTTCTGGTTACCGCCGCGTCGGCGCTGCTTAGGATCCCGCGGCGGTTTTCTCGGTGGTCTGCGTGTCCTGGAGACTAAGGGATGGCACGGACTTGAAAAGCTGTGAGAGAAAAGAGCTCAAAGCTGAAGATAGCCTGCTGTATCATGGATCTTATCTGTACCACGGCCAGGTTTTAGTTTGGACGAGTTTGAGACTTGGGGCAGTAGTAGATGGCAGAAATCGGACTGGGTGGAAACCGGCCGGTCTCTGCTGGCTCCGTCGACACGGCTGGAGTCGGGTCCCCGCGGCTCCCCATCTGCCCCAGTTATGAAAGCGATGACGTCGGCGTGTTGTCACCCGGTTCTCGAACTAAGTGGGTAGAAACGCGAAGACCCGGAGTTACCACCTATTCTATACGTATTTGTGTCCTGTACTGGATTGGGCCCGCACCCCGGCCCACACCACGCTCCCTGGAACACCCGCCGCCCTCCCCGGTGTCCGACCCGCCCAGTGTCCTTGTTCCGGGCTAGATGTCAGAACTCTTACCTCATTCCCAAGTAGGAATTTCAGTTCAAAGCTTTCACATAGCTGATAGCTTTGTCTTCCTTTCCCTGTGCGCTGCAGCAGTTCTCTTAAAACAAAAATTTTCTTTGCCAGGAATTGTTTGGAATTAATAGTATCTTTAAGAAGAAAAGAGAAGTATTAATAGAGAATCAGAATTCAGAACTTTGGCTCCCCATTTCAAGTACACCGGTCTGCATACCTCTATATTAAAAATTTCCAAGGGATCAACTACCCTTTGGGTACAATGGAGGATGTTCAGCATCACAGTAGCACTACATAAAGATGGAAAGATAATGTATTAAGTGGCACCAAAATAGACTGATAAATTAGAATGGCCTAATTTGAAAGTTTCAGGATGATTGCTTTTCTTTTGCTTCATACAGGTTCCTATTAGTAAATTGCTTTCAGGCAACAGGGTTCCTTAGCAACAGAATGAAACGATGAGCTAAAGATGATAGCGATAGAATTGAATTGATTAAGTAGTAATTGTTGCAACAAAGGGCTTCTCTCCCGGATTCCCAGCCCCACAAAGCAAGTCTTCTGCCTCTTTATATGATTTCTGCCTTGCCTTTTCAGAACAGTTATGATTCTTCTTTCCTGAAATTTCCATTTTTCTGCAGCCTCATAGGGGATTGTAGAATGCTGTTAATTACAACCTGTTGGTGGGAACTAAAACATTTAAGATGTTTAACAAAAATGCATTTATTTATTTAAATAGATTGTTATGGTTACAACCCAAAAGTTACAAAGGGTTTACTGTGAGGTCTTTCTCCAACCCCTGTCCCCAGCCATCCAGTTCTCCTCTCCAAAGGCTATCAATGTTAGAGGTTCTTGAAGCAGTTGTTTAAGATTTATCTAACGGGCTGATTGGGGGGGATTCATTTTTAAGATCAGCATCAGTAAGTGAATTTGTTCTTGTTGATTTTATTCTTTGTTAAATATCTGATTTCCATTCCTGAGCCTGTTCACCTCTTCTCCCATTTTCTCCATCATTTGCGAATTGATTATAGTGCGGAACTGAGTAAGAATGTCACTGGCTTTGTGACCTTCCAGACCTGATGCATACATTTCTTGGCTGTGAAATAGCAAAAACCCACACCTCTCAAGTTATATTACAGATTTAGTTAGGTAATATTTAAGGTCTTTTTAGTGTAATTTGTTATAAAATAGGAGATGTTCAATACTTAGTTCTCTGTTTTTCTAAATTTTAAAGAAGGAAACTATGTCTCAAAAAATCAAAGTTTTGTACATGTAAACATAGACATTTACCTTTTTTTTGCTAGATAAATGGAACTCAATATAAGAAACTTTCTTCACCTCTTCTCTGGTCAGGTGAATGAGGTAGACTGTCTAACTGGCTCATGCAGACCTGAACTCTCATTCTAGATTTTAATACGACTGAGCTATGTGATAATGGGCACCTCTACTTTCTGTATAATGAGACCAGTGGATTAGATTATTTCTGAGGCTCCTCATAGCTCTAAAATTGTACGATTCTATTTCCTCAATTTTTATTGCTATATGAAAGCCTTTCTGATTGGTAAAGTTGGTGGATAGCTGTATAATTGGTATCAAAGTCTTCCAGTGAGTCCACAAACGTGCTTATATTAAGTACATTCACAGCTCGATTTTCTGTGAACTCTTCCTTAGGTTTCCACTCTCTCTGTCTTTCTTCACTGAAAGATTACTGGAAAGAATTGTCTATACTTGTTATCTCTACTTATTTATCACCTATTGTCCAAAATCTCTTATAATCTAGTTTCTAACTTTATTACCAGTCTGAAACTGCTTTAAAGTCACTGTATCCATTGTTTATTTGTGGCCTTCATATGCTTTTATTGAAGCACTTGACACCATTGGTCATTTACTCCTTCAAGCGCTGTTTTCCCTGACTTCCAGGAGACTAAATTTTCTTGGTTCTTCTACTCTGACCAATCTCAAAAAAATGCTGCCCAATAGAACTATTTGGGGTATTGGAAATGTTTTATACCTATGATGTCCAGTATGATACCACTAGCCACATGTGACTATTGATAGCTAGTGTGACTGAATTTTTCATTTTCATTTTAATTGATTTAAATAACTTCACGTGGCTAATGGCTACCCTATTGGACAGCACAGCTGTAGATCTTCTACAAGTATAGAACTCCTTAATTTGTCCTCTGCATTGGTAACCAAAGTACATCTCACTGCTTCAGTTACTATTTCTCTGAATATAACATCTATTCACCTCTAGCCCTATAATTTCCTACTACTTTCAGAGCAGCTTTTCTAGTTGCCTCATTTTACTTTTTAATTTTTTATCTTTTAATTACAATTGACATAAAATATTAGTTCCAGGTATACACCCCAGTGATTAGACATTATATAACCTACTAAGTGATCATTCTGATAAATCTCATACCTGTCTGACACCAAGTATAGTTATTAGAATGTTATTGACTATATTCCTGTGCTGTACTTTATATCACTGTGACTATTTTGTAACTACCAATTTGTACTTCCTAATCGTTTCACCTTTTTCACCCATCCTCCCAAACCCCATCCCATCTGGCAACCATCAAAATGTTTCCTGTATCTATGAGTCTATTTTTGTTCTGCTTGCTCACTTACTTTGTGTTTTAGATTCAATCATTGATAGATATGTATTCATTGCCATTTTATTGTTCATATTTCTTATCTTTTTTTCTTCTTCTTAAAGAAAACCCTTTAGCATTTCATGTAATACTGGCTTGGTGATGACAAACTCCTTTAGCTTTTTCTGTCTAGGAAGCTCTTTAACTGTCCTTTGATTCTAAATGAC